ACACGATGGGGGCAGCAACATTTTTGTATTAATTAACGAAAGATGAAAGCCGTTGGTCCCGAATTTGAGGAGGGGTCCAGTCTACACTCGAGAGAGCCGTGGGGTCACATCTCCATTCCGAGTTCGTGCTCATCTAAAATGCTCATGAAGCAGAAAATAATTAATGTTAATGCCTTCAAATGGATTCTCGGTGTGGGTCTGAGTCTCCACTGGTTCTCTGGCCTCTCGGACGCTCTAATTTGTGCAGACCGCAAAGTTCATAGCAAATTAGTTGATTAGTTTAACGTCGATGAGTGGCCCGGGCGGGTCCGCCGTATTCCATCCGAATCTCTGGCTCATGGCATTTGATATCGGCCAGGCCAGGCCAGACCAGGCCACATTTGTTCAGCTGCAAATTTTATAATTCAATCAGTGCCCAAACACACTCTGAGTAACCGAACAGAGACTTGGTAATGTGGCAATTTGCAAGGAGCAGGGTATTTGTGGCAAATGGGGGGAGGGATTGTACAACAATAAACAAACATTTGGAGGTCGTTAATGCTCCCTGATCTCCATCCCAACTCCTCACTCTCGATTCGCGTGATTCAAATGCGTTTTATTGTGAATTTATTAAGCGTGCCCAAGGCGCACATTAAATGCCTGGTCGGTGACAATCAAGTTAGGGTATGCGGGCTGCCAGCGATGATTAAGGCGGTTCTGGGCCGGCAATAAACTTGGCCATAAGCGGGAAGGAGACTAAAAAGAGGGTTCCAGTGAGATGGGTAAAGATAACTCGCAGATATTTTACTGACTGAGGAAAGGGTATTTCTTTTTAAGATGGGTTCCCTCTCATGAAGCCAATATAAAATGCAGAATCGACTGGCTTTCAATTTCTTGGAAACGGATTTCGGGAACTCTCTCATTTCTAAATAATTAAATTATATATAATATTACTTTACGAAACCCTCTTGTTTTATACCATCACCATGAGGACAGACACACAAATCCTCAAAGAAGTCAGGGTGGCTAAAAACCGCTTAAGTGTCGGCAGAAAATCAGCTTGGCTTACACACATTTCAGCCAAGTCTGTATGCGATATCTCAGGCCACAAGAGCGCATGTGGAAAATAATTGTTATGGCCGTAACAAAATCCTTTCCCTTGCCATTTAAAACAATTTGAAACACTTTGCCGGCGCTTAACATGGCTGACAACAAATTTGACACACCAAAGCCGCTTTAATCAATATAATAAAAGACATTTGTTAAGTTAGCAAGCAGCCAGCAAAAGCACCAAAAACAAAAAAATTGGTTAACTGCCGCAGATAAAGTACACACACGCAGAAAGAGAAAAAAATTTAATTAAATTTATAACGCAAAGCCGCAAAACCCAGAGAGGAGATTTATGTGCCCGTTAATTTTGTCAAAGCGAGTAGATGCCGGCTAAGTGTCCTGCCGGCTAAAAGGAGTGTGCACAGAACCATACCGCCACCGCCAACAACAACAACCAGGGCCAAAAGCAAAGGCAAAAGCAAAAAAAAACCTCACCGGATTTCCTGTGATATGCCACAATATTTTCCATTAACGCGCTGGAGTTACCAGAAAGTGGCAGCGTGAGCGAATAAACTGGAAACTGGTCTCGATAAGGCAAACACAGCAACAACAACAATAACACGAGAAAAAAAAAGGGAAAACACATGAAAAAAGGAGCGAAAGAGGAAAAAACAAAAGGCCAAATGTGCGTTGGTCCAGGCCACTTCACTTTACTCCGGATTCTGGATTGTGGATTCTCGATTCCCTATTCTGGATTGCGTCTCTAGGCCTCACAGCATCACAGCCAGCCTCACCCTCTGCGACAGTTGCTGGCTTTGTATGAGTTAATGACTTGTAGATAGTTTAACTTACAAAGCAGCCAGCAGGCCATCCTAGGCTCGATACACCAATGCTGTATCTTGGTGGCCAAGAGAAAGAGAGAGAGACTGTCAGTGGGCTAAAACGGGCCGGGACCTTCGAGTGCGTTGCGTTGACCATTAGTGCGACATCCGGCGTTGCGCTTCGCTTGGCATTGCCACACGTAACAACTCACGCCAGAGATGAGCGAGCTAAGTAATGACTAAAACAACTTGGGTGCTAACAAATTAAAGATTAAAAACTAAAATATATCAAGCAATGAGGAAACAAGAGAATATATTTAATCTAAAAACTATTTTTAAGGCGATCTTTTGAAAATCCCCCTTTCGTGACCCTTTTAAACCCCTAGAAAAGAAGGCTTAACTTTTGAATATTACATAGTAACTCTTTTGAATCCAGCAAAAGTGAAAATAAAGACCAAACTGATAAAAGCCGAGAGCAAGCCAAAAACACTCCTGGTTGAGTCACTTAGGGATTCAGGACTCAGGCATCTCTGGGCCCGGCCAGGACATGCAGAGCTCGAAAACTATTAGCAGGCTTTTGAGGCCAATGCAGGCCAGCACACTCACTTAACTTGCGGCCAGGAATCGACTTTGGCATAGGCTCAGCCACAGGCACATGTAAAAGCCAGAGTGCTGATGGTGGTGAAGGGACAAGTACAAGAAGGAGTAATAGTCCTGGTAACCACCCCGGAACCCCGTATCGACATCATCATCATCGTGGTCATCATCGAATACGGACGTACGTTCTGCGGTTAAGCAGTTAGTTTAGTTTGCGTACAATTTGTGGGACCAGTTGACAATTACAGCTGCCTTTCGGGCCTCCCTACAACTTCCCGCCGAGATGGCCACTGACCGCCACTACCCAGAACGATGGATGACTATCTGGTTAGTTGGTTGGTTGGCAGTCTTGAAAACCCATGAATGAAATGCTAAACCGGTTGGGCCTTTTTGGCCTGCTGCTCATCTTTCATTTACTTTGCACTTACTTCACTTCAGCACAGAGTGCACGTATGTGTGTTTGTTGTAGTCTTTTTCTTACTTTGGCTGCTTCTTTTGCTTCCTACTGTCACACTTCAAGGATTTCTTTGTTGGCCATCCTGGCCTGCATATGTGTGACAATTACCCTCTGTATATTGTCTTTTCTTGGTGCCAGCGGGGTGGCTTTCCTGTCATGTCTCCCTCGTGTTGCCCTCTTGGTCATAAAACCCACAGAGTCATAGCCAAGCTATATAACCATCTACCCGTCTTCCTCCCGTAATGACACTAAATGAGTTGTATGCATGTTGCAGTGGGCCGGGTCTCAGTTTTCTCTGTTTTTGTCGTCATTGTCAGTGCAAAAACCTGTCAAGTTTTGCCGTTTTTTGTTGCCATTCTTTATATTTTTTTCTTGTCTTTTTTTGTTTTTTTTGGTCGTCGTCGCTGGTTAATTGCCGCAGGAAATGTTCTGGCAGTGCCGAGTTGGTCAACTGTCGCTTGGCTTAATTGCTTGAACTTTAACCATGTTGGCCAGCAGAATGCAAATCGAGGCGCCCTCAAAACGAATGAATGACTAACATTGCCCGGTGGGTGGGCCCAGGCCATTGGCCACATTTTCTTCATTTCCGCCCTGACCAATTCATATCCGCTTTTCTTCAACTCATTCTTTCAAGACCATCTTGTTCGAAGTCTTCTCAGACAAATAATCAATTAATCCGCTGATGAAGTCCACGACAGAAATGTTTGTTTTGTTTATTTGTCCAACCATTTGTGGCCCACGATTCACGCACACAGTGCACAGTGGCACAAAAACCCGTTTAATTGAGCAATGTTCGTTATAGCTATATATATAAATTATAAATTAAACTTGTTTCGATCGAACATAGGAATTAAGAATGTTATTAGAGATTTGCCATTTGATGATTAATGGCTAATTCATTAGTCCGAAGCTTGGTGAGAATTATTTATCCAAAGATAAAGGCGACAGTTGTCTTTAGCTGGGTAATTTATAAGACCGCAAGATCGAGAAATGATTAATCGCGTATTTATTTGCCAGCAGGTTATTATAATCTCTTATTTAATTGCCAGATCAGAGACCGAAAATGGAACTTTCTCCATCACCCACACGCATATTGTCATCATTTGTGTTCCGATTTCCCATGAACCGAAGACAGTGTGCGTGAGTTGTCAATGCTTTTATATAGGTACCTATGTAGATTGCTCTAATGCTGATTAGGTCGCCGAGGCAAACTCACACACACACACACACATGCATAACATTTACAGCACATAAGTATAAGCCCCGAGTGAGTAGGCCGTTCAATTTGGTATCGAACGTGGCCTGGTCGTTTCTTTAAGACATTTTAATGCTAATGAGCCGCAAGCTGTAGACCTACTTTAGGCTAGGTGTGGGCCGATCCAGCGTCAAACAGACTGCGAGGAGAACAGAAAAGACCGATGGATATGGACGGACAGATATATATACATATATATACCCCCTACATATAGATCCATGTCTCAATGACAGCCTGAGAGTTGAGTTGAGTTTTCCCCTGCCGCCCCTGACTGGCTGACACATGTGAGCGGAAAGGAAACGAAACAATTCGAATCGAATCGAACTGAATTGGACGAGGAACAAAATAAAAAAAAAAAGAAGTTGTACCAAATTAGTGAGATGTGACTGAACGACGTCGTCGGGGCTTACGCTTAAGTAATGTGTATTTTATGTGTGGGCTGTAAAAACTGGGTAACCGTGGCCATCTGACTCTGACTCTGGCTTCGATTCCAACTTCGATTCCGTTGCCGATGCTGACTCCCGTAGCCATTGCCGAACTCTGGGCCCTGACAGGTCGACATCCATGTCGATTCCATGCCAATTGAACTGTTCCCATTGCCGGTGCACTTGGCAAACTACGTGCGCAAATGTCGAACGTGCCGATTAACCATGCGAATTTCCTTTCCATCTCGTTTTACTTTACATGGAGAGAAATTCTTTTAAATTAACCAAAAGAAGGGACCTATAAATATAGGTCTATTAAAGCTTAGTTAATATTAAGAACAATCTTCTGTAACATTTAAAAAACTTTATTTCCTTTTAAAACTTTAAATATTACCCCTTCTTTATTCTTCGTGCAGCTGCCACCATCTGCCATCATGGAATGGCCGCAGCAGTTACGGCTCCAACTCCGGCTGCTCAGGTGGCTACCCCAACTGTGCAAAAGTTTCGCCTGACGCCACATGATCTGCAAATACTCGAGGGCACCGACACCCTTTTGCGCTGCGAAGTGTCCGCCCGGGCAGGAAAAGTCCAATGGACCAAGGATGGTTTTGCGTTGGGCTTCTCGGCGGTGATTCCAGGATTTCCACGCTATTCAGTACTCGTGGATGCCAAACAGAATGCCTACAATCTTCAGATCAAGAATGCCACTCTAGAGGACGATGCGGAATACCAGTGCCAGGTGGGTCCTGCAGCTGGAAATCCGGCGATCCGAGCTAATGCTAAGCTGAGCATAGTGGCAGCACCCAGTAGCATCGTTATTGAGGGTTATGCCCGGAATGCTAGAGTAGAGGTGGAGGAGCGACAGAACTTAACTCTGCACTGCATCGCTGAAAATGCCAACCCGGCGGCAGAGATTGTCTGGTTCCAGGGAGAAGTTCCAGTTAGCACAGGTGAGTTGGAATTTTATCTTTATAAAATATTGTTACATTTTTATAGGTCTTATAAAATGTTCTTAAAAATATTTACAATTTTTGAGATATCTTGTAAAAATATTTTCAAATTTATATTTCTAACTAAATGATGAACAATTTTTATAAACATTTCTCCACGTGTAGTCCCCATTGTGTCGGTGAATCAAACTGCCCCGAAGCGTTTTACGACCAGCTCCGTGTTGCACCTGCAACCCCGCGCCGAAGACGATTACAAGGAGTTCTCCTGCGAAGCCCGTCACAAGGCCCTGCCCCCAGATGTTCCAATGCGAGCCCAGGTTCAGCTTTCCGTGCTCTGTAAGTGCATCTCGGACTTCCTGCCTCCGGCAAAGTTCCTAATCCTAAATCCAATGCTCTGCAACCCCCTTAACAGATCCGCCCGGTGCACCGTTCTTTGAGGGCTATAGCCAAGGCGAAAGCCTGCATCGCGGCCAGGAAGTTCAAATTGCCTGCCGCAGCCGCGGTGGGAATCCCCCGGCCCAATTGACTTGGTACCGGAATGGCGTGGCCATCAGTTCACCGCAACGCACCTCGGGACGTCTGTCGGAGAACGTTTACAAGTTCACCGCCGCCGCCGAGGACAATGGAGCTAATTTGGTGTGCGAGGCCAAGAATCTGTTGGCAACAACTCCCCTGCGAGCCGAACTCAATCTGACTGTCCTGTGTAAGTAACTTTGGCACAGCAAAGCCATAAACCATATTTACTAGAAGAAAGATATATTGAGTAATTTATGATCTATATGTTTTTTAACTTCAGATGCCCCCAAGGACGTTTACCTGAGTGGCGCCACCCAGGCCAAGGTCGGCGATTCCGTCCAACTTAGCTGCGTGACAGCCCCCTCGAATCCACAGGCCCGTATCAGTTGGTCCATCAATGGACGACCACTGGACAATAGCACCTTTAAGACCACCAGTAGCTCCGATGGTGGCTGGGTTAGCAGTTCCAACATCAGTTTGACCATCGACTCGCAGAGCAGGACCTTCATAGCCGTCTGCCATGCCCTCAACACGGAACTCACTCAAAATGTGGTGGGATCACATACCGTGAACGTTCTCTGTAAGTTAACTTAGCCCCTGACTACCCTTTGATCTTATCAACATAATATTTCATCACTTGAAAGTTGTAATTAAATTAAAACGTCATTATTTATTCCCTTTGCAGACCCCCCTTCGCCACCCCTGTTGACGGGCTATAATGATGGCGATATCCTTATCTCTGGATCTATTTTGAAGTTGCAGTGCAGTTCTGCTGGTGGCAATCCCCCACCCACATTGCAGTGGTACAAGAACGATAAGATTATCAATGCTCCCTCGAAGTTGGTGGACAGTAAAATCACCTCGGAGCTATCCCTATTGGTCAACTCCTCCGACAACAATGCCATCTACACGTGTAAGGTTCAGAATGCTGCCATCGATATACCTCTCTTTGCCACCAAAACTTTGGGAGTTCATTGTAAGTAATCTTTGTTTTTCTTTAGAAATATAAAGTTTAAGGGTTATCCCTTTTTTAGTTCCCCCTGAAACGGTTAAAATCAGTGTAGTGCCCAAGAATCTAGTGCCTGGTATTCGAGCCAAGTTAGTCTGCGACTCCAGCTCAAGTAATCCCCCGGCCAAGATTAGTTGGTGGAAGGATGGCATTCCCGTTGAGGGACTTAACTTGGCCAACCGTCCTGGTCTCTGGGGAGGTTCGGTGTCTACCCTCGAGATGTATGTCAACATAACCCAAGATCTGGATGGCATTGTCTATACATGTCAGAGTCACAATGAGGTACTGCAGCGAAGTGTTCATGAAACCATCAGCTTGGATATTCTCTGTAAGTTTAACTAGAAATTAAGCTTAAGCTTAGATATCTTAACTTACCAATACCCTACCCCTAACTGCCTTAGATCCCCCCAAATTCGAGACCTCCCAGACCACATTCGTGGGTGTTGAGGGAGCGCCGTTCCATGTCGAACTGATGGCCAGCGGAAACCCCATGGTAATTAGCTATACCTGGACCAAGGACGGCCTACCCATTAGCAGCAATAGTCTGAGCGGCCAGCGTTTGATCTCCGACGGACCACGTCTCAATATCAGTCGTCTCAGTCGCAACGATGCGGGTGTCTACATCTGTGAGGCGCTCAATAGCCAGGGCACCGCTCTGCTGGAGATCCAAGTGGCCGTGGAATGTGAGTACTAACTTGGCTCTAAGACTGACCCCTAAACAGAAACTGATTGTTGGCGTTTCTCCTGATTTTTTTTTAAAGATGCCCCCACAATCACATCGGTTAGTGAGGGTCGCAGCTTTGTGGCCGGTGAGCCAGCGGTCTTGGCTTGTCATATTCAGGCCCGTCCGCTAGAGGCCGCTCATGTCCGCTGGTCTCGGGATGGCTACGATCTGGCCTCCCGCACAATCTCTAGTTTTGAAAACGGAACCGCCCTGCTGCAGATTGCCAGTGTGGAGCGCAGCGATATTGGCAACTTCACCTGCATCGTGGACAACCAAAGAGGAGCTCCCGCAGCGCAAAATGTACTTCTAGTCGTGCAGAGTAAGTGGTTTTCTTATTATGTTTTAATTAAAAGTAATTAAACCTTAAATAACTCATTAATTAACCTTGAATTTAAATATTTTTTCTCAACAGCTGCTCCGGAAATTGACCACTCGCCGAGCTTCACCCGCTATGCTGCCCGTTTGGGAGTTCGTGCTCAGCTAATTTGCAGATCCTTGGCTTCTCCTCAGCCCAGTTTCATCTGGCGTCGTCATGGCAAGGATCTCAAGATGCAGAGACGCAACAAATTCAAAAGTGTGGAACGTCAGGTTGATGCCCTTAACTATGAGTCTGCTCTACTGATCGAAAACACCTCCGGCGATGACTACGGCCAGTATGAGTGTGTGGTGCGAAATGCCTTGGGACAGGCTAGTACCACCTTGGAGTTTAGTAAGCCATCACGTCCGGATACTCCCCTCCAGCTGAGAGTGGGCAATGTGAGCGATACGGGTGTGGAACTGAATTGGACACCCGGTTTCGATGGCGGCATGCAAACCTATTTCCGGCTTAGACTTAAACAGCACGGCGAAGATAAGTACAAATACGTGGACGCCAAGGCAGGACATCAGAATATATCTCTCGATGGCCTAAAGCCCGGAGCCACGTACTACTTTTCGGTGATGGCGGCCAATGAGGCGGGTGGCAGTAAATTCATGCCGGATATTAAGTTGACCTTGAGCAAGGGTTCCCAGCCACACTCAGCGGAATACACTGAAAAGGATGAGCTGCCCAATGTGATGATTATTGGCATCACCTCAGCTGCCATGGTTTTGTTAGTCTTGAATGCCGCCCTGGTAGCTTGGTTCGTGATTCGTCGTCAGAACAAGTCTCAGAGCGAAGCAGAGCCCAGCAATGATGATGTGTACTCCAAGGATGATAGTCAATCTGTTTATAAGGTATGTTTATATCTCTCTATTAACCCACTAATACGATCTAATCAACAAACTATCTAAAAATCCTAACCAGCTACCCATCACTGCTTTGCAGGCGGATGTGCAGAAGAAAGCAGCCGCCTCTACGTATCTCGTGGAGAACGTGGACATCATCCAGTCAACGGCATATCCGCCGAAATATCAAGAAAGCTCTATGTGCACCCCTCCGTATCCACTCTGCAATCCGGACTTCACCCGGACCCAGCCGAATCCCAAGAGGCACAGTCAACGGAACAGTGCCACGGGTATGATCGAGGGTATGCAGATGCGTTCCAAGGATGATCATATGCTGATCTCCAATGGTCTGTACATACCATCGCCATCACCTGCCTCTTCCCTGGTGATCAAGGGTAGCTATATATCCTCACCATCGCCAGCGCCGCCAGCAGATGGATCATACTTCAATATGAGCGACAAATATATGTCTTATCCGCCGGTGGTAAGTTGAGATATTTATTTGAAAAATATTAAAAGTAGAGAAAAGGAGATAAAATCTTGATATTGATTCAAAAATGTGTTAAACAGAAAGAACTATCTGTAAAGCCCCTTCCCATTTTTTGGAATAATTATTAAAACGAAACATTTCGAAACGAATCTTGTTTCCCATAATGATCCAGATCAATCTCAAGATTTTACCCACACCCCAGTCATTAACAGCTTGTTAGGAACAACCTGTATTTAACGCATTTCTAACAACCTCTCCACCTGCCCTGTTCTTCTCATCCGCAGACTTACTAAGCCGTGCTGAGCGTCAATGACAGCCACAGACAACATCGCAACCCAACCCAAACCGAACCGAAACCAAACCCAGCTAGACTGATTGACATACATCATTCATAATCAGCATCTCGGAAACATGAAAACACGAAAACCAAATCATATGATATATAGAACTTGACTGTCTTTTGGTTCAGATTGGTTGATTGGTTTGGCCGGCCGTTGCTGTTGGTTTTATTGAATTTGGATTTTACTTTTTATATTTTTTTTATTTAACGTTTTGTAATTATTACTATATATATGACGTTGATTATTACGGAGCGCAAATGGAGAAACCATGTTGAGTGAGTGTTTTGAGAAAACGACATTTGCATGCGGCGCTCGAAGGCTGTGATAAGTACCTGTGCCCAAAGCTCTGGAGACGTTGGCACCACCGCAACTCGGAGAGATGAAAACACGCAAGCGGCCAAACGTTTGCCATTAAGACCTTTTCCGTTGGCCTCCATCCATTCATTCATCTGGGGATTCGAGGTCCGGATTGTATTGGTCTGGCCACGGGGCAGGTGCGCAACCCGTTCTACAGAAATGCCTGCCCTCCACCCACTTTTAGTCCACCACAAAACCCAAACATCGGCAGAAGCAGCATCATTTTGTAGACACCACAAACAAAAAACACAAAAAAAAAAAAAAAAAAAGAAAAGAAAAAAAATGAACAACAGAACACTCTCAAAATATTAATTCGTAGTAAGGTCTTTCGATATTAAGTAGTAGGAATTACGCATTTTAGCCTTTAGCATAAATATATTACGAGTCTGGCGAGTCGTGACTCATTCTCATTAGCAGTTGTTCAAGTTTAAGCTATACAGGACACACCAATATTTATCAACATACGTACTATAAATATAAACAAATAATATAATATATTACACAAAATAAAAGCAGGCCCGAAAAGAGTAAACGTTCGAAACTTTCAACGAACAACGATTCGAAATCACCAAAACCGAAAAGAATAGCGACTTCAATTATATAAAAATATTTTTAAGTGTGACTTTTGCTAGACCTAAGAACATCGAGACATCAAAAATATATATATATATATATATTCAAAAAATATTTACAGCATTCAGCGACTTTCTTTTTATCATGCATGACAATAATTATATACATGGTAAAGAAGTTGATGCGCCAAAAATTATGCTAAAGAAACTCTATAAATACAAATTCAATAAACATGTTAATTATAAATTAGACTTCAACCGCATTTGCATTTAAATTAAAGAAAGATGAGTAAGGAAAGGCGAGCTAAGTATGTGTGTAAAATAAATTTTCATTAAAATCAAGTAAATATTTAAATGTAATATTTAAAATATTAAAAAAGGAAAAACATGAAAAGAAAAACCACAAAAAATACAACAAATTTTTGTATCTCTAAACAAAGCAAAAACGTATTTGAATAAAATTACAAATTTTTCAAATTAAAATGAAGTGTTTTTTTTTGGTTCTTAAGAAAGGGGAGTGGACAGGGGGTTAACACTTAAAATAATTAATATTTCTAATATTTCCTATTCCTATGCCTTAAGCATTTATTACACTTTGAAGATTATATGCTAGATGATGGCATTCCCCGAAGTGCTATTAAACTAAAATTCCTGGCTCTCTCCCCCCACAAGCTCTTTAAAGATTCATCCAAGACAGAAATATGTCCAGTGTCATCAATCAGCTAGCTGACTTTGGTCATCATTCTTATTTTCTTTCTTGCCTCGCAGGCTTTCTCCTGGTGGGCGTGGCCACTTGCACCTTAAATGCCGACTAATTGATTCTATTTTTCGGGGCCAGACAAAGTGGCGGCATTTTGCTAGGAAGTTTTATTAATTAATAGCTACGCCGCTCCGCTTTATTAATGGAATATTTAATAATATATATATCTTATATACTTTTTTAATTTGTGAAAGAGGAAATTAACGGATTGTGAACGTGGTCCAGAGGCATTTAGCTTTCACAGCCTCCAGACAGGTGGTCTTGATGAACCTATGAACTACGTTTTAGTTATTCCCATTAAATGTTTACTTTAAACTCCAATTGAGAACAACGAAACTTTAGCTGGCATTTAATTTGCAACATTTTGCTGACTGGCTGTGATTTCATTTTAATTAATATTCAATTTCACAGAATTCAATTTTGCATTTCAATTTTGGGCTTTTGATGCTTACCAGTTTGCAGTGAAATAATGTGTTTACTTATTTTATTGATTTACAAAACTTCACAAGGAGTTTTGTATTAAATTCGGATTGCTTATTATTACAGTTAAATTGAGTATTTGTTTATTTGATGGCTCTACGCAATCCCTGTTAATTAAAACAGCAATTTTAGTTTTAGGTTTTGCCAGCTAACTTCATAACGATTATTGACATATTTCCATAATCAAATCAATTCTAATATAAATGCAATTTTAATTACCATGTTTGGACTGCCTGTCACCGCAAATTTCAAAGCTTTTTGCTGGCTCATATAAACGACGACGGTAATGCAATGTTAGAAAAATACAAACAATTAAATTTAATTTTCAACACAACCTCGCCTCCTGTCTGAGTGCCAATAACAAAGCCAGGGCAAGGCCAAAGAGAGGAAAAAACAACAACAACAAAAATGCATAATTAAGTACAGTGAATTCATTAAATTTTAATTAAAACATTTGAACGGGCAATGGATTTTTATTTTGTCTGGCAGCTTAGCAAAGGCACTGCCAGTTAATGGAAAGGGATCTAAAATAGAGGACTTTCTAATGCCCTAGCCAATTGTTTTTTCGCAAATGGCTTTTCCTCTGGGGAAAATTGATTTTCCCCTGTCGACAAGCACAAAACTCATCTGTGAGGGTATCTAAACGGGCTTGGAAAGTCAACAGAACCATCACGAAACGGAAAACTTCATTAAAAGTGGGCAGCAGCAGTTGTCGTCGTCGGTGGGTTTCGAAAAGGGGGGTTTGAGCTTCAAGGAGGGAAATGATGCTGCCGCCAATGTGACGACGCCTGGCGCGGCTCCATTTCCTGTGACCATCCGTACTTTTACCCAGGCACTCGTACTGGTACTCGTACTCGAACTGGTACCATCTTGAAAGACCAACGCAGAATCGAACACATAATCATATTTAATAAGCAAGTTGCAAGTGTGTGATGTTTTGCTGCTCCTCCAGAAGTTGCTGCTGCTGCTCCTTCTCCTGATGATGATGATGATGAAGCTGATGCAACAAGTGCACCAGAATCGAGCACAGATGTGCTGCAAACCGGTTGAACAACTGGGCTCCGTCTTAACGCAATTTGTTAACCTGACTGACAAACTGCGGCCTGATGATGCTGCACTTGTTGCTGCTGTTGCTGTTGCTGTTCCTGCTGCTGGTTCTGCTAAGGTGCGATTGCAATTAAGTGCCAGATCTCGGACCAGTTTCCTAGACCCCAGCTGAATTGAGAATCCTGGCCGGCAGCGAACACTTCATTCATAAAATTACGCGCATGTTGCGTGATGTTTTGGCCAGATAAGAACCACGGATCTAAGCCAGTTTTCGCTTGCCCAGTTAGGGCCGCAAAACTCCACCAACCTGTTGACATGCTAGTGTTAGCCAGTTTGGGTTTTTGAAAAATACTAGCAGCGACTTCTTGACTGGCAGGAAAAAAAGCAAAAAAAAAAAAAAACCATACCGAAAACTCGCTTTTCTTGGTAATTAATGAAAGCTGACTGAAGTTGCAAGCTCCGGCTCCGGCTCTGAGATCTTCTGCACCATCTGCAGTTGGCTACTGTTGCCGGGAGTTATTAAAATGTTGCGATAAGTTCGGCTTGGTAGCACATTTGTATGCAAAGTGCCAACAGTTTTTCTCCTCAGCTCTGCTCTTTTTGATGATGATGCGACTGGCCCGTCCCGGCCTGGACTGGCCTGGCCCCGGCAGGAAGTTGTCTCTGGAAAGTGATATTGAAAACTGCACTCAGAATGGATTACTTCCTTTTTCTTCTCTTGATTTTTTTTTGTTGTTTTTGTGGCTTGCAAGTCCCTTTGGTGTGAATGGCTGCCGGTTATGGACTTTCGAACTTAGAGAGAGGTGTTTGCCGGAAGAAATGCTGTGATATGAGCTATGCAGGCTGGGGCTTAATGGATGTGGGCTTAAGAAATCAAAAGGGCCTAGGGTTGCTTGTTTCCAATGCCCAGGATAGGTCAGAAAGTGTGTTTTGCTGTTCCTAAGAGAGAAAGGAATAAGCCTACTGATGCTTAGATATATTTTATAATAAATTATATAAGGATTTTGTAGTAAAGGTGGAAAAGTTGGTCATATTTTATCAATAAATTAGTAAAATTTTAACTTATTTATGACTTACAAGCATTTATTTAGTAGGAAAACGTTTCAAATGTTGCATTCCCATTGTAACTTCCAACAAAACGGCAATGTGTTTTTCCATTTCGCAGTGTGGAAATACCAGAACAAGAACACTCTCCATCAGCAGCTTGTACTGTCTCGAAAAGCTCAACCTACAAATTGAATTTGCTGCCATTTGCTGCACTCAAGAAGCTTTCTCACACCTCCCACCCCAAAAAAAAAAGAAACGACCCCGCCCGCACGTTCCGGCAATCAACTGCCACGCCATTTAGCATCATTAAATTACTAGGTCAAAACATCAGTACAGGCCATAAAAAATGTCACAGCTCCCTCTCTAGCCAGTGGAAGACGACAAGGGGACGGACTCTTCAAGTAGTATGTCACAGGGCAGTGGAAAAGGCATCTTAAAAATGTAGAAGCCTCGAGCACTTGACAAGACCAAAATGAAAAGTCAACTTTGACTCATTATAGTTCACACACACACCCCCTCTTTTAAACCAGCAGGGCAAAAGCTCCTCCTCACAATGAGTCTTGTTCGTCCCGTTGGGAGAAAATCCAGACATTTGTCAGTTGTATGCCGCATAATCTTCTACATAATCGTAAGTAGTACAATTATCTACTATGTCAACCAAAAATGTTCACAGCGAAAGCCAAGAAGAAGGCCTCAAGTACCCGACGGTCAGCCAATTAGAACGTTTAAATATTTAAAAAGATAAATCTACAAATGGACGGCGTCGGAGAAGCACACTACTTGATGTAATTTTCAGAACCTAATGACAAATTTAATGCTCCACTCGAATAGGGAACTCTCCTCGACTTGGGAACTTTTCTTTCCCGACGGGGGACACACCGACACATGTCGAATTACATAAAAAAAAAAACGAACGAAGTCAAGAGTTTGAAGGTTATTAAAAAATTAAAGCAGAAAAACTGGGGCCAGTGCTGACGTTTTGAGGAGGGCAACCAAACACATTATTCACTCATTAAAATCATCAGCTTAATAGCCACAGAAAAAAAAAAACGAAATTATATATATACTCGTATATACTAATGTATGTATATTTTTCCACAAGCTGCTGGTAAGAATTATTAACAAAAATTCTAGAAAACTCCTCCCCAGGCTTGTACATAAATAATGCAATGTGCTGCTCAGCAAAAGAAAAGCAAAATGGGCTAAGCAAAAAAAAAACAGAGTTGGGAAAAGGGGAAAAACAGAAGGGAAAAACAGAAACAGACGTCACAGCATATGCAAAAAATAAAGGGTGAATCGCAAACCTGAGTTAAGATATAGGAGTTAGGATCAGGCTGCATTAACTTGCGGAGACCCTTTAGTAAAAAAATAAGTACAAGTTTTTAGTTTTCATTTGTGTTTGATTTTTATTTATTTTTACATATCTAACATTAACTTTTAATTATAGTTTTTATTACTTGGTGTAAAAATAAATTTGTTTCCTTTTAATTAGTTTATTTAATGGCATTTTAAATACTTTTTTATATTTTAAATAAATTTATTAACTTATTTCTAGCATTTACCTTAAATAATGTTTATTTTTGGTTGTAAACATAAAATGCTTATAAAAAAACATAATTTAGCCATCAAATATTTCCATTTGCAATAATATTACCCACTAAATGTTTAGCTCAACACAAGGTAGTAAAAGGCCAAATTTCCATTAGTTTATTTGGCAGCCGAAAATGCGATTACAGCTACATAGACGAGGGAACAACAAATTAAAGTTCAAAGTGCAAATCATCAAATTTACTTACTCAACGCTAACACGGTGCAATGATTTGTTATGAGCTTGTACTGTGTAGTAGTCTGGTCTGGCCTGTTGGCCAACAAAGCTGGGCCATAAGATCCATAAGACTATCCCAAAACGGCCATTGTAGGGCAGCCATAAAAAAAGATGAAGCGATTTGCAGGCCCTGTTGTAATTGCGACGCTTATCCACGGAGTTAGTAGATGAGATGAAGGCGGTGCAGAGTGGCAAAAGCTACCATAAGTACATAAACTTTTGCCTATGTGTG